ACAATGACATTATTGTTCTATTAATATAAAGGGAGGTCAGGTACTCTTTAAAACAGCTGCTAGTTATGGGTACTTTTTACTGAAGTACATTTCAAAGCCTCTTCACTTTGACTTGAGTAAAGAAGTTTAGTCAGTACTTCTACTTTCACCTGAGTATTTTTAAACACGAGTATCTGTACTTCTACTCTATCTGTTCCTACCTGTGGTCCGGTCTCCAGCAGGAACACCTTGGTCTGCTTGGAGATGGATGTGTGTTGGTAATACTCCACCAGCTGGTTGAGGGAGGGGAATCTCTCCGACCAGAGGTAGTACTGCCCCCTGCTGTCCCGCATGACCTTAAAGTGCTGCACAGCTGCCTCTAATCTACAGGGGAGAACACACAGAATCAAATACTATTATTACAAGTCTTTGCAATGTTTTTTTTCCTGTCATAGCCGGACAATATATATATTTAAAAACATTTTCTCCATTTTGTTTTTATTTAGAAAACGTTTTTTGCGTACATTATACAATTTATTTTCTTTATTAAATTACGAGAATTTAAATGGAATTTAAAGAAAAACTCGTAACTATGGGATCAAAAGCCATAATTAAGATATCATAATTATCAAATTCATTTATGAAATAACTTTGTAAATTATGAGATAAAAAGTCAAAAATATGAGATGACAGTCATAATCATGAGATTAAACAGTTATTATTATAAAATATAAAGACATCATTACGAAATAGAAAAGTCGAAATTAGGATAAAAAAGTCATGAAAATTAAATGGAAAAGTCTATATTACGAGAAAAAGTTCACAACCAGGAGTAGTATTCAAAATATTGGGAAAAGTTTATACGTTTTTTGAGATATTTTCGACTCTGCGTTAACGAGAAACGTAAAACCCTTCCTTCGGCTGTGAGCAGTCACGACACTCACAGATTTGCTCATTGTTAACAGTCACCACGTTTCAGCCGGCTCTATGTAGGAATATGAAGCACCTGACGGAGATGGAGAAGTCTCCATGATCTGTCTTTCGGCTCCCCCGGATCACGAAGGCCCCGATAGGTTTCTTCCCCAGCTGCTCCTCTGCCTCAGCNATCCATCCATAACCAGTCCCACTCAATCCATCCATCCATTCATCGATTTGTCCATCCAACATCCATCCATCCATCGTGTCATCCATCCATCCCCATCCATCCATCCATTCAACAGCCATCGAATCATCCAGCCATCTATCCATCATATATCCATCAATCCCCCATTTATCCCCCCAGCCACACTCCATCCATCCACGTCCATTCATCGATTCATCTTTTCTCATTCACACGCCATCATCCATCCATCCATCCCATCCATTCATCATCATCCATCCATCCATTCATCCATCCATCCATCCATTCATCCATCTATCTATCCATCCATCCATCTATCCATTCATCCATCCATCCATCTATCCATCCATTATCCATCCATCCATCCATTCATCCATCTATCCATCCATCTATCCATCCATCCATCCATCCATCCATCCATCCATCCATCCATCCATCCATCCATCCATCCATCTATCCATCCATCTATCTATCCATCCATCCATCTATCCATTCATCCATCCATCCATCTATCCATCCATCCATCCATTCATCCATCCATCCATCCATTCATTTCTATCAGGCAGTAACAACATTGAAACAGATTACTTACCAATTTAAGGGTTGAAGTATAAAGCTAATTAATGGATCTTTCTGCCTGTGTGATTTCTGATTTCCAAACTTGGCCCCTTTTCAAAGTCTTTCAATGAAGAAGAAGAATCTGCCATTTTTAATGAGTTGATAAAAAAACAAATCAGACACTAATTATTTTCTAAGCAGAGAATTTACTTCTGAAAACATGCTGGAGGGAATCAAGGTTTCTGTTGATTTCCATGTCTTGCTTTCCAAAAGAAAATGGTGCAACTATATAACAGTACATTATTGAATGTAACCTTTCATAGTATTCTCAGGTAGTTTCAAAGGCTTAAAAATATAGTAAAGGGTATATGCTTGATAATACATGTGTTTTGTTATAATATATTGTTGTGTTGTCAAACCTTTTGTAAGGGAAAGTACATTTCTAGTTTGTGCATTGCACTTCAAAAATACACTTCTTCAAACCACCATCAATACATTGGTCTGGTTTACTTAATGTGCTCTAAAAATTCACATTTATCATCATTGGCCATTGTATATTGTATCAGATTACTCTCTGAAAGGAACATTTAAAATATTCAAATATTTGTAATGGATTTGTTTTCTCTTTATGTCATTTTGTATTGCAGGTACTTCATAGAAAATGAAGAGGAAAGACCTTTGTATTTCAATATCGGGGTGAACAGCGGCATCATCAGGACTTCTCAGGTTCTGGACCGGGAGGAGACCGCGTGGCATAACATCACTGTGATGGCTGCAGAGGTTGGTAAGTTCACGGCAACAGCAAACTGTTGCTACATGTTTTTAAAAAAATATCCACCCATGATGTTCATGTATGTGTCCCTTAAACTACTATTCCATCTATCCATCCATCTGCCACTGTACGTGTCCTTAAGGTCATGTCTAAACACTAACGGGTGGATACAGGACCAATGACTACTATACCTATAGCATCATCTGGACAAATGTATGTTATGGGAAATTAATGCTTAGAAAAGGACGGCTTCCCATGCATAATTAATCCACCAATATATTTTCATATACTTCAACCTTTCATGTTTTCAATCTAAAATAAAAAAGGCCTAAGGGAATATTTCACACCAGTCAATTTCTTAACTCCTAAGTTAAAACTTTTCTATAAACAAATAAAGTAATACATTGCATCACAATAACCCTTTTTTCTCTACAAAGTAAGTTGAAGAAGTTATAATCAATAGTGTTATTGTTAACAATGGCTCAATAAGTGTAATGGAAAAGGGGTTGTACATAGAAACAAAGCAACAGAGAGTTCAATCAATCAATCAATGTTTATTTATATAGCCCAATATCATAAATGTTACATTTGTCTCAGTGGAGAGTTGTTACCAAGCCAGCAGTTACCCCTGCTCTGAGGAGCATCTTGCGTACTTCAACTGATTATTACTTCACTGTTTTGATCCACTTTGTGATCCTTTGTGAACCTAGTTTCAGGCAGCAGCTGTTTCAGTGAAAAGGCTCTGACCCACAGTTAGAAACTCGCTGGTGAACTTGGAGGAATGTTGGACTGCTTTTGATCAGGTGTACAAACAAAGTTCCAAACTAATGCTAATTATGCTGTTTTTTACTGCATGTGTACATTTGCATTATTTGGAAACTTTTTTTAATAGCCTATTACAACTCCACAGGGGCTGATCTAGACAAATATTCATGGGGTGGCAAGAGGGTGGCAGGAGAATTTGAGGGGTGGCATCCCCTGGCAGAAGTATATTCTGATTTAATCGCAGTCAATGTTAACTTGGAAAGCCACAATATTGATATTTTAACTCAATAACATTAGGTGACATTATTGTGGCACATCAGTAAAGCCTTAAATATAAATATATAAGGTGGCAGACATAATTTAATGAATTTTAACTGAATGAGTTGGTTTAACTCTTAGACCAGCAGGGATACCAAATATGCAGACTGCTGCAATAAATTAATTAATTAACTGTCTCATCGATGTGTGTCTGTATGAATATGATAATATTAACAATCATATTATTCCTATCAGCTGTCAATCACTGTTATGATTCACATCTTCAGTGTTATTATTAAATAAACTATATTTTTTGGAGGAGTTAATGATGAATGTTCCTCAACATGCTTGCTCACCCTCCTTCAAATTTGAAAGACCAGTAATTACCATCATAATTCAAAAGAATCAAAGGAACAGTTCAGCGCCCCACAACTTCATTGCAAACAGTTACAACCTTGACTTTACATCAGAAAGAACAAACATTAAAGAAATGACTAACTGCATCAGTTAGGGTTAAAAAAAAAGTGTATTCAGCTAAAACATACATCGCTGCAGTTATTATCCAGCGGAATTTTTTTGGCTGGGCAGTGAAGTTTTACACACCGTCTTATTTGACTTTCGCTGGACTTCAAACTGTTTTTTGGGGTCAGACCCCCACAAAGAAGAAACATATATTTATGTAAGGTCATCATCTTAACAGTTTATTATTCTCATCGACTCATCCGTGAGCAGAGCATCAAGTTGGCATGCCTATAACAGCTGANGATCTGTCCGGCATGTCCCCCATATTCATGGTATGTGCACCGCTGCTAAAATGTAACACAATCATTAATATCCTCCACTTTCCAGTATCAAGTGTCGCTTTCCGGGACACACCCCCACACATTGTGTCTATGTTTTGATCTGTTTTGATCTGTGTGTATTTACGGTATTTACATGAACACAGAGCGGATCAAAGCAGAGACATAAACACAGATTTTTAGGGAAAACACTACAAATACTCACAGTATAAAAACACGCTAAACACAAGTCAATCAATATAAACTCACCTTATGATTTTCATGGCTTTATCCTAGCTAACAAATTGACAGCTGTATTTACGTTGCTCATTGTAATGGCAAATGTGAACTCTGCTTTTTGCAAACAATGCGTCTTGTGATAACCTGTAACTATGACGAACATTTGATGACATTAAATAACTTTTACCTTGTAGAGATGTTCTCGGGACAGAAACAGCTTACTCCTCCGATGCGGGAAGAAAATATGGTAGAACCCCTCCCCCCCTCCTTTGTTTAAAAAAGAAAAAGCTTCACATTTTAAAAAATTAATATTTTTTTTTTCTGCTTACATCTTGTCCATTAAAGTGCCATTATTGTTCAGGTTCAATTACGAAACTATTAAAGTACGGGTTTGATTCCGATATTAATTTGTGAATAAAATATCTCTAAATAATAATTAGAAGCTGAGTAATCGGCTGCAGAGCAAGCTGCTGACGTATGTACTCAGTGGGCGGAGTTACAGAGATAAACATAACTTTTTTCTTATTTCTTAACATGATTGAGACTTATAGAACGTACAGCCCTCAAGATTAAAATAGTTCTCAGGGAGAACCAGAGAGCACATTCCGCGTTCCGCGTGTAGCGAACAGATCCACCTCCGCACTCCCAAACCTGCTCCACACCTGGGAAACCAGCTCGGGGTGGAGGCTCCAGTCCCCTTGTCGAGGACCTCCACATGAGGTCTGCCCCTCTGTTCAACTCGCCGGGAATATACACCGCTCTGACAGAGAGTACGTGTGTGCACGCCCAGCACAACAGTCGCCAGGCTGTGTTCAGCAGCTGCGCTGATCGTACACCTCCCTGACGAGAGATTTCTCCAGGCGGCCGCCTTATAGATAATCTCCGGGAGTTCCAGGAGAATCCCGCCAATCGATGGCAGAGCCGTGGTGGCGGAGATAGGGATCACTGGATCATACGTCGGACCTACACCGGGCCCCATATCTGTCCCCTCCGTCCGGAGGGGAGAGATGATGGGGGAATCACCAGGTGATGGGTGAAAGCTCATAATGTAGCCCGACCCGCATGCAAGGCAATCCCTGACGCAACCTTGATTTTCCTGCCCAGTCTCCATCTTACCAGAAAACAAAGCTTTTTAGTTGGAATGTTTGCTTTTAGTAAGTAGCTCTTGCATGACAATGCTTCTGCAACGGAGTGCTGAAGAAAAGTGGGAGCAGATTGTAGGGCCTACTTCCTATTTATACGGAAGTGAGCCCGGAGGTGGGGCCCACGTCATAGGTGGGCGTGGATTAAGTCTGTCAGTGCTGCACACATGCAGTGGGGATTACCCAATAGCGATAGCCTTAGAGGGCGAAGTCTTATACGATATAGAACCTTGGGTCTCATGAAAGGCGCTATATAAATCCAAGCTATTATTATTATTACAATGGGTGATCTGTTTGGTATTTTAAGCAAAAAACTTCACAGACATGTTTTGTATAGGTATGGCCCTACAGTATATTTTTCAAATATAGCATAATAGGTCCACTTTAAGCAAAATCCAGAGAACAAAGCTTAAACCTGCACCTTCCCCAAGAAGTGTTCCTCACAGAAGCACTTGGAGCTGATCCGTCTCGTACCTTCTTCAGGGAAACGAAGCCCTCCCTGCGCTCAGCGTCAGTGGTGATGGTGAAGATGGCCGCTGCGTCGGCATTAGTTATTCTGTAGGTCATCTCAGCGTTCTGCCCCTCATCTTGATCGCTGGCTCTGATCCGACCCACTGCCTTCCCTACCGGAGCCAGCTCTGGAGCATAGAGCTGGTAGCTTCCTGCAACAGCAACACCATGTTTATTTATATTCTGCTCATTAAACCCCTGTAAGCACATGAGCACATCATGGAAACCTGATGAAGATGCTCCATGTTCTCTCCTTGGTTTTCTATGTTGAAAAGTTGTGTGTGCTCACCATGTCTATGTATTACATTTTGTTTGGGAATGGGATACACATATCAGTTGTGTGATGGTGTATGACTGGGTTTCTTTTTTCTTTTGTAAGATCCCCGACATTTTTGTTTGGCTACTATTTCTATATAATGGGAAAACATCACATCCCTTGACATGTTCACTACTTCATTGGCATAATACTGTATTCATGCTGGCCTAAATTGTAAAACATGATATGTGTGTATTTATAGTCACAAAAAGAGCTGTCACATGGGAAGTGTGCCATTTAAAAAAAGTGGCTAAACATTAAACCTTTTCAAAAACTCAACATAATGTCTTTCAGCAGAGGATGAAATCGAAGAACAATTAACAGAAATACATTACTCTTGAGGATTAGAAGCCTTTAAGTATGGAAACAGCTAGCCAAGGGAAAATATTAAAGCAAAGATATTAATGTAGCCAGCTTTCGAGATAAGTTAAACCAGAAAAGAGATTATCCTAACCAGAAAATAACTTGTCAGAGCTTCATTCTGTAATAATACATTTACAATCTCAATACATTTATTAAATATAAGGCAGATTTTCCTGGATTAATGATGACTACTCTCAGTCGGACAATGTTTCTGTTTCATGATGAAATCTGAAAGAATGTGATAGGGATCACTTACTCTGCAGGAACTTTGGAGGGTTATCATTGACGTCCGTGAGGTTGACATTGACTGTAGTAGATCCAGACAGTCCTCCAACCGAGCCCGCCATGTCTTTGGCCTGGACCACCACCGCATACTGAACACTGGACTCACGGTCCATGTTGGAGATGGCTGTTCGGATGATTCCTGAGGCAGAGACAAGACAAATAAATCAGGGTTTAAGCAACTTCAGTTAGTTTTATTTTGTTATTACACAGCTCAGTTGAATACTTGATTCTGATTGGTCAATTTGAACATTCCAGAAGTATACTATAGACTGCTGTGAAGGAAAGTAGATTGTTGCCTATCATGGGACTAAAGTATAGTCATATCAATCCGCAGAAAGAAGTCCGGTCAATATAATATCCACTGTGGACAACAAACATTCTTATCTTACATCAGAAAACAACATGGAATACCCTTTTCATTTTATATTTGTGAAGGGCACAGCACTTTGGATTCATGATGGCTAAGCTGTTACCAGCAAAGAAAATAAATACGGGTAAAGAGAAGGAAAGAGGTTAAAAGACTCGACGTAGGAGAAATCAACAAAGAGAAGACCGACAGGAAGTGAACACTAAAGGGAACAGTAAAAGAAGAAAGACAGGAAGTAAGGCAAGGCAAAGCAAGTTTATATAGCACCTTTCAACACAAGGCAATTTAAAGTGCTTTACAAAAATGAAAGACATTAAGAAAATGGCATTTAAAAACAGTCATTAAAAAGCAAAGATAATAAAATAAACATTAAAAGAAAAAATACAAGGTAGTAGTAGCCTAAACACTAACAGGAACAGCAGAAAAAGACAGACAGGAAGTAAACACTAAAGGGAACAGCAGAAGAAGACTGACAGGAAGTAAACTGTGGCCGTTTCTCAATGTCGAGTAACTTGCTGCAGAGCCACTATTTCAAGTATACTACGTCATCGAGTGGCGCCGAATGCTGGGCATTGAACATGCATTTAAACAGTCCTTCGGCGCCTTCGGCGCCTCTCCATGACGTAGTATACTTGAAATAGTGGCTCTTCAGCAGGTATACTCGATATTGAGAAACGGCCACTAACAGGAACAGCAGAAGAAGACAGACAGGAAGTAACCCTAAGGGGAACAAGGCATGGGCTCTGTCATTGAGTTACATTTCTGCAGGACACAAAATAATTGGCCTCACTGAGGGTCTAACCGTGATTAAAAGCTGGATCTTTTGGAAACATTTGTCGGGACTGGTGCAAAATGTGGTATTTTAGGGTTCCTGTGTAGGGAAAAAAGCTCTGTAGCACCCCCTACAAAGTTGCTAAAAGGCAGCCCATTGGTGTACATCAGCACCTAATGTAGTCTATTCACCTAAACACACACACACACACACACACACACACACACACACACACACACACACACACACACACACACACACACACACACACACACACACACACACACACACACACACGTTTAGCCTGGAGGCTCTCCGCTGCATTACTCGCTTCAGAGGCTAACAAAGCCATCTGGCCTTATCGGCCCATGTAGACGGAGCAGAGCAGGGAGCAGGACGCACAGCACACTGTGCACCTGTATCGCAGAGAGGACAGGATAAAAGCAAAGGATTTCAAAATGAATGGAAGGAACTGGCGTGAGAGAAGGGAGTGGAGGAATTCTGCGTCTCTGGGATTCATTGACATCATTCAGGACCGAAACTAGTTTCCACTTAGTTTCAGGTTTTTTAAATGCCAAAACCAATATTTCTGTGCCACTCACATTGGACTCAAAGGGATGTATTACATTACATTATTATCGGTTTAGTTGAATACTGAACTCTAATTGGTCAATTTGGACATTTATGTTTCTCGCTAACAGACCGTTGCTAACGATAATGCGCAGTAAGCCGGTCATCACAGAGAAAGAAACCCAGACAGGCTTTAGGTTCAATCACCCTGCAGGGGTCAGAGAAAGGAGCTAAGTGGTGACAGACCCTCACAGCTTCAGGGCCGGTGCTTTTTATCCAAATGATGATAACTCTTTAGTGGGCTACATCCTATAACAATGCATGAAATTACTGAAACACTGAATGCATAAAAAAACATGCAGACCTCCAGCATCTTATCGTAGTTAAGTGTGCACGCTAAGCTGTGTTACGGCAGTTTCACAATTTAATATATCTGTAAATATAATTACAAAAAACAAAAACATAACTTTAGCATAGTCAAACTTTATCAATATATATAAAATAAAAAAGGGGGGTGGTTATAAATGTATTATCTTTTCAATTTACACATGGCATCTATTGCACATCTGTCCGTCCTGGGAGAGGGATCCCTCCTCTGTTGCTCTCCCTGAGGTTTCTCCCATGTTTCCCTTTAAACTGTGGGGTTTCTCCGGAAGTTTTTCCTTGTACGATGTGAGGGTCTAAGGACAGAGGGTGTCGTGTTGTCATACTGATATTCTTTACAAACTATGAAGTCCACTGAGACAAATGTAACATTTGTGATATTGGGCTATATAAATAAACATTGATTGATTGATTGATGGTTACAACCTCATGGAAAATCGCAGTACTTACTGCATGTGAACTATAAGGGGGGATGAAGGATGGTATTTCACAGCACACTGAGCAGTTTGATCCTCCATACTGTACATGTTGCAGCTGAGCTCATTCAACCATATGCTACTCAGGGGACAGGAAATACATTTTCATATACATGGTTTCTGCACATGATCCAGCCTTAACTCCTGTGTCACATGCAGTTGTGGATTTGTAATAATGAGTGAATTGCTTACATAAATAAATGTCTACTGGCAAGCTCAACCATTGATTGATATACAAGTAATATAACTCGTGGCTACTTTTTTAGTAGAAGTCATTAACATAAATGTCCTTATTAATTGGTTACAGTTTATGTCATCTTTCAAATAAATAATGAATGTTTAATTCTCTGTAGATAGATTTCTGGCCAATAGGGGCAACAGAACTCCAAAACAAGCTGACACACATAGGCTACAGGCCTTAAATGTTGCATCAACAGAGAAACGTTGGAATTCAGAAGGACGTTCTGTTTGAGTCTAAATCTTCACTGAAGACACACTTCTTCTCTTTGGCCTTCTAGTCAGAGCTGAGCATGAGCCGAGGCGGTGCCATTCACGTTCGCCATTCCAGTGGGGCGGATGGCTCCGTTTGCCGTTGTCGGGCACTTCCGGGTCCGGCGTCCATGGAAGTCCACCGGCGGCGGAACGGGTCACCAGGGAGTACCACAGCTTTATAGCTGGGGCCCCGCAGCTGATTGCACATCCCCTAACGCAGTTTTATGGGGAATGGAAACACAGCTGTGTATTAACGGAGTGGATGGACAGGATGCTGAGACTGGGTTATTCATTCCAGTTTTGCAGCATCCCTCCTCCGTGTGTGTGTGTGTGTGTGTGTTTAAATATGAAGATTGGATGAGACCAGAGTAGGTGGAAGTTTTCTGTAGGTTCATCCTTGTTGATGTAGTTGAATTGAGGATTGGAGCTTTAAACACATGTATTATTTTTTATATTATCAACAAATATAGAAAAAGAACAATGAATGTATTGTGTTTGTGAAATAGAAACTTTAAAAAAAGCATTAAAAGAGATCTACATGGAAAATCATGAAAGCCTCACTCAGACTCTGACGCCATTCCACTGTCCCTGGCTGACGGACTGCAGGAACAAACTGAACAAACGAGTTGAGAAGCCCCCAGAGGACGATGGATATTTATATATAAATCGGTCAAGTTGGACATTCCAGAGGCCTGCTATTCTTATTTGCCGGCAGACTCCTGCTAAAGACAGCAGACCATTGCTAAGTCTGATCCAGGGACTATGTGCAATCATATCAATCCACAGAAAGAAGTCTGGTCATTGTAACGTCAGCTGTGGACAACAAACAAACCGTTTTTCTCCATCAGAAAATACCATCAAATACTTTTATATTTGTGGAGAAAAAAAGACAGAAAAATAGTTATGCATGAAGTAGTGTAATAAGCGTGATAATGAGCAGCGAGCCGGTCATTAATGAAAAAAGTATTTATATAAATACACTGTATATTTCTCTATATCCTGACAGTAGTGCACAAGACAGACAACCTGTGAAAAATCCTTTATCAACAGAAAAGTATCCTGTGTAAATCAATATAAGCTTCTGAAATATAACGTCTGAGTGCCTCAACATCATAGCCAGCCAGCCAGCCAGCCAGCCAGCCAGCCAGCCACACACACACCCCCCCCCCTTTTGTCACTCTGAATGTTTGGCTTTCATCCACTTCAGGAAATCCAAGGTTGGCCATCCTTTTCTCTCCTGATAATTCACCATATTCATGGAGTCTCTTTGTTTCACACAGAGGGCGAAGCAATAGGTCTGCACCTGCTACGGGCTTGGCTTTTTGTATCCAATTATTAAATTAAATAATGAAAGAAAGAAATATGTCCCGTTATCTGCTCCAAAACTGAAGGACTTCTTCCCTGGCTAATGCTACGGAAACCACGTTTCATAGAGAAATGGGGAAGGTAGTTTGTCTAATTCTGCAGACAAGGAAACCAACAAATAAAGAAAGTAACAAACAGAACAGGAAACATAGCCTCATTGGATCATAAAGGTAAGGTGTTTTAGCAAATACCATAAACCAACAATCAATTCTATGTGTCAGGGCTTTATTTTTCTCCTTACTATTCAAGCCTGTCTTTTTTTACATTCTACATTTTAAGCAATAGCCGTTAGCGGTTTGAAACATGTGGTTCATGGTTTCATGGAAAACATGAAAAGTAAAGCCTCAGAGCCTTACACTGATTCAGATTCAGTGGTTACGACATAGAAGAGCTCATGGTTCTAAAACAGAGGGCTTTAATATATGGTAAATCGGAAGCATCATTTTGTTTTGTTTGCCTTTATTTTTGAATTCCCTTTTAATTATGCAAGGTGGTAGTTGGCTAGGTGAAAATGATTACTGCCGTAACCTGCAGGTGAACATCTTAAACTCCTGAAATGATTGCAACCTTGGTGGTGTACCGCCTATCTAATATGATAACTTGTGGGAAGGTGTTGGTATCTTAGGGTCTTCTTCTCAAGGGAGGGTACAATGTAGGGAGATGGGCTAGGGCAGGGGTGGCCAACCAGTCAGAGGTTAAGAGCCACATTTGTTCTATGTTACTGCAAAGAGCCACATCAAACACACAGTCACTGATACCGCTTGTTTCAGTTTTTTGTTTTCTGGAGACAAGATTTCCACCACGTCACCGATGCATTTTTGTGGCATTGGGATATATATATTTTAAATCCTCTGGAGCAGAGAGAGTAGCTGTGGATTATTGTTATTGATTAATCTATCAGTGTTTCTTAGGGTCAAAAACACTAAACTCACAACTTAAAATGAAAGTGTTTAGTTTAATGTGAAAAGTGACAGTAGTTATAGATTATTTTCAATTTGGTGCTATATATATATATATTTAAAAAAAAAAATTATATATATTATTTAAACACCTTGAATTTCAGGGGGGGGCGCGGGGCTCAGTTGGCGGAGCGCAGCGCCCCTCCAAGACAATGGTAGGGGAAACACTGGATAATGTTTAATCAACGATAGGTTTTCCCCCCTCAAAGGTGATTGGTTCACTGCATCGCAGGTATTATTGTGATTGGCTCTTGGGTCACATCAAAATTAGACGCGCTGTCATCCTCTCATACTGACACCTGACACCACACATACACACGTAGGGAGAGCCGGGACGAAAGTAACACGGGACGAAAGTAACAGAGCGATTTTATCCGAGCCCAAACAACTTTAACCGGCCAAATTACGTCAGAATGATCAGCATTCAATACTTAACAGACCTACTAAATATCAGGTTTAACTGTCAGGAGTAATGTTGTCACGATACCAACATTTTGGTTTCGATACCAAGTCAAGAATTCCGATTATTTTTCGAAACAGTCTTAAATGTAATTATTGTGCTTTATTTCACACCAGAACCATAACTATAACACAAACTTTTAAACAATGAGAACAATAAATAAAATAAATGACAAGAATTCGTATTAAATCAAATTAAAACATTTCTTACAGACAGGCCTCGTTTAGTCCGTAGGCTTGCCCTCACTGACAGAGCTAAAATACATAGGGAGAGAGCAACGTGCGCATTCGACGTCTCGTACACCTCTTTTGCTCTGCGTACCGACGTTCACCCTTCAGCGTTGACGACGACGCGGAGCCGAACAACTGTTTTTCTCCGGTCTTNCAGCAGACATGAAACAATCATTTAAAACAAGACGTATAGACATTCAAACATGCCGCCGAGCTCAGTGGGGAGGGGGGAGTCATAGCTGATGGATGAGCTTGCGGCATGTTTGAATGTCTATACGTCTTGTTTTAAATGATTGTTTCATGTCTGCTGTCAGGCGGTGTAGAACTTTACTGCGTCGGTCCGGCTCTGCATGTCTACTCTTGTGCCGACGTTTAAGGGCGCTGATGCAGGTTGTAGGCCTACCTTAAGTTAAGCGACCATCTTTACCCATTTAAGGTGTTGATTGTTAAAGATACAATATTGTCTGTGGGACCGCAGTGTTTTCCCTAAAAATCTGTGTTTATGTCTCTGCTTTGATCCGCTCTGTGTTCATGTAAATACCGTAAATACACACAGAGCAAAACAGATCAAAACAGAGACACAATATTGTGTGGGGGGTGTGTCCCGGAAAGCGACACTTGATACTGGAAAGTGGAGGATATTAATGATTGTGTTACATTTTAGCAGCGGTGCACATACCATGAATATTGGGGATATGCTAGACAGATCTTAAAGTAAGGGTTACGATCCACCCGCTGTGAAATGAACTTATCTTCCATATTTGCCGTACACTTGTGTTTACGGAAGTTGAGATGTTTCTCGGTTGTGATTGGTTGTTCCTCGTCACATGACGAGCGGTGCGCGCTGCTGCAGTGCACGTCTCCATTGAAACCAATGGAAATGAGCTCTCAACGCTGATGTGTATTGCTCCGTACAAAGTTGTACTCATTGCATTAGTATAGGCTACTGTAGCTTTTTACACTGGAGGCGCCCATCTCGGCCGAAGTCGGTTCATATTAACCTAAAGGTACATAATTAAATGGTAAATGTCGCCTTTAAGGAGCAGAACAGTTTTGTTTATTTGTGTGTGAATAATGAAATAATTTCAAATATGTTTTCTGTGATAGGTAATTGGTGTGGAGAAGATTGACCTCAGCCTTGCTTTGAACATTGTTCCAAAGGCTCTGTAGTAAATGGTGAGTATTCAAATGTTTTGTGTGATTTACTTGACTAACTTAAACTTGATCTTTAACTAATTGAAAACTGGTATTAGTCTGACAATTTCTGAATATTTATTCATAACATTTACATACTGCAAACATTGCAGGGATATACACATTTTCTGATTTATTAGGCAAAAGTTATTCAGAAAGTGAGAGGCNTTATTTTTGTTCAAAATCTAATTGTAATAATCTGACTGTGAGACTGACCGTTGAGCGGCCCAGACCAAGCAAGGAGGCAGAGGCAGAACGTCTAAAAATATAACCCGACATGGGCATTTATTAAAATCATGTGCACATAGTTCACAGACTCAATCCTGCTGTTCTCCGTGAACACATCCTGCAGCCACAAAGATCTCACACCCACTCCCAGCCTCCCCACAAACAGGGAAAACAGAGCCTAAATACCTATACACTAATTAGCACAACAAGACACAGGTGGGGGGGGGAGCAATTAGACACAGGTGAGGGGGGAGGAGACAACACAGGGCACCAGGTGCACACAATCAGCTACAACATACATGGGGAACAGGGAAGTTGTCGTCAATATACCCCACACAGTACAATGATTATATCCACGTGAGCAACGGAGTCTCGTTGTTACAGCGCACTAGAATGGTTTTTTTTCTTTGTTCTTTTGTCAATGACCTATTAGGGGCTTCTACCTGTGTGTATCTGCTTTTTTGTTGGATTATCAATCATTTTTGTTGAGTTGCCTCTTAACAAAATTATCTCCGGTAGTCAGATGTGTTTGGGTTTTTTAAATGTAAAAGAGAAAAAGGAACTCATCCAACAATGTATGGATCCAACATAAACACTGATGGTGTCATTCATCTACAGCCCTTTCATCGTGAAAGGAACATGTATTTCACAATAAAGTAATAATCTATTGCATATTCCTACTACTTTATTTATTTATTTCATTATCTTTGCTTTTTTTGCCATGTGTTTATGCTGTATTTATTCTTAAATGTCTTTTGTTTCTATTTTGTAAAGCACTTTGAATTGTCGCGTGCTGAAGGGTGCTATATGAATAAAATTGCCTTGCCTTGCCTACTTGTGCAGCCGCTGGATTTTTCCTGGAAACAATATGCTGCAGACAGTTCGCCTTCTTCTAAATGTAATTTCGTAATTCTTTTGTTTGTCATTCCATGTGAGTTTAGAACTTGCTCATCATTGTGTCATATGTATGTCTTGCCAAAGGACTGTCAATACGACGATTTATTGGAATGTATGAATGGCAATGAGTGAGTTTGATCTATTTATTAGCTTTTCAAACCCTTTTCCATGTCACAGTCTGTATCCTATGTTCTGTCACACATACCAAGGTCAAACAATGTACTTGGATACTCAGGGCAAGTTTT